GAGAAATTATTTCTGATTTCATTTTTTCCAGATCCTCTTTTGTTGCCAGTTCAGGGAGTCCAGGTGGTTGAGTATCAGTGTCCCATCTCATTTCCTTTTGGGGTTGCTTTAGGTGATCTGAAAGTTTGTTTTTGAGGCTTGTTTATAAGTCTTCTCATTTTGATGGGGGAGGGGAGCTTCCTTTGTGCTGCAAGCAATGGTACAATACCTGGAAGCCTCCTCCTCTGCACTGCGAGCTGTGCTATGGTGACCCCGAAGCCTCTTCCTCTGCCAGAAGGGTATATTCTTGTTCCCAACTCCTTCCTTCTTTCTCTGCTTCCTGGCTGCCATGAGTTGAGCACCTTTTCCTCTGCCATGCCCTTATGCCATCCTGTTTCTGTCTTGGATCCAGCAGACCACGGACTGAAACAGTGAACTAAAATAAACCTCTCCTCCTATAAGCTGTGATATTTTGTTTCAGATATGGGAAAGTAACTAAGACAATCTTTTTTGTGCTGAACTCCACTTGCCTTCCCATGGGTTGGTGGTTGCTCTAAGAGAGGCAAGGCATTCTGGCTACCTCTCCCTGGTATGCTGAGCCACACTTGGAGAAGGGTTTTCACACCTAGAGTAGACAGCTGTGCTGACTCAGGCTTAGGGCAGTCAGGCTGTTGGATATTCTAAGGAGCTGGTAGTGTGCACTCTAGCATATTAGAGACTGTCACACTGATACCTTTCACACTCAAGCCCCATACTTACCACATGTTGGAGCTCTGAGGGGTACATGGCATCATTATCATATCAGCTATGCTGTGCTGGGTCAATTAACCAAAGAAGTTCCCTCCCTTCCTTGAAGGGCACATGACAGCCTATACATGGGAAGGAGGAGCATTTCCCACTTCTCTTCATTCCAAACATGTTTTAAAGGCCCCCAGTGGTCCCATACTAGGCTAGGTTTGGAAAGATAGGAAAAAAATAACTTCCTGCATTGATGGAACTTTTAGTCAAGTGTGGAAAATGACCAGTATATGAGAAACCCACAAATAAACATACAGTGTTGGATAATTATAAATGATGATGATGTGGACTATGAAGGAAAAACAGAAACCATTTAGACCAGGTGGTCAAGGAGACCTCTTTGAAGAAGACTTATCTCCACTGAAACCTAAAGGATAAGCAGGAGACAGCCTGGGGAGGACCAGAGGGAGAGCATTGTGAGGTCCCTGAGGCACAAGAAAGTGAAAATTCACAAACTGAAACAGGGTACAGAACAGGGAAGAAATGAAGTGGGAGAAGGCTGCTCCCCTTCAAAATGAACCCCTGCAGGATACCCAGGAGGTGTATTCCTGTGGCAATGGAGCAGAAATAGAGTAGAGTGAGGGCACTGCCACAGAGACGAAGATCAAAGAATTGCAGGATTTCCAACTAAATATCTGCCTCCAGTGCTCTTCCAAGTGTGCTTCAGGGGCCCACTTGCTCACTTGGGGTGTATGTTCCAAATGCACAGTCTGAGTCTCATTCCCAGAGATTCTGAAAGCAAGGAGTACAGGGTGGGACCTGGGGAACCTGCATTTTAACAAGCTCTTCAAAGTTACTTTTATCCATGAAGCTTGAGAACTCTGCTCTAGATTTTACTGTACCTGAGCCAATTTCCAAATCCCTGTTCATCACCTTCAGCTCTCACTGTGTGCTCACAGGCACAGCTGCACCACCAAGGCCACCATGCCACAGGCTCTCACAAAATCTGAACCACATGACCTTCCCTGGGGACTGCCAACCAAGGGCTTGCATACCATGTCCACCTCAGAGATGCTGTCCAGACTCTCCACCTGCACGTCCACACCCACCGGGATGGCAGGGCCTGCAGAAAAGCAGAGACAGCTGGTTAAAGCGAATTCCTCTCTGTGTTGAGCTATGAGATTGCCCCAACCCTTCACAGCAGCAGGGATGACAAAGTGGTTCACAGTTTTGTTCTCCTCTGTGCTACTCACTTTCTTATTGCTGAGACACAATACCCAACTCCCACAACTTAAAGGAAGAGAGGTTTATTTTGGCTTACTTTTTTTGTGTGTGGTTTAAGTCCATAGTCAGCTAGCTCTAAGGCAGAAATGGCTTGGAGGAAGGGCATACTGTGCAAGAAAACTGCTCATATCAGTGAGAGCGGGAAGAAGAGAGGAAGGGAGGCCCTGGGGAGAAAAGTAGCACTCCTCATATACATCACCTTCCAGAAACTTCACCTCTGAGCACAACAGACTTTGCAGGGACATTTCAGACCAAAACCACAGCACCCTCCAATATCCAAAAGCACAGAATGAGGCCCAACAGCCCCTGACCTGAGGTTGGTTCACCTGCATGCCTGGGTTTTGCACTCATTCAATCACTGGCATTCAGTCTACAAAGAACACAACATGAAGCAGGGGTCCTGTCCTCTAGAAGCCTTCAATCTAGTGGGAAACAAGATCTCTGTGAAGTTAGATCACAGTGAAAGAAAATATTGTACAAGAGTTTGAAATCTTTCAGGACATGTACCACAAAAACTAGCATTCAATTTCATCTGACCCCTGGCAGGATTTCTAAAACTGGAAACAAACAAAAAAGATTTCTAAAACTGGATTCCTCTGTGGGGTCCTGACCTTTTCCTTGAGCTGGATGATAGCTACTTTGGCAAGTTCATTTTGTGACAGTTTAGTCAGCTGTACATTAATAATTTGTATAGGCCGGGGATTTAGCTCAATGGTTCTGCTGCCTGCCTTGCAAAAGCACAAGGTCCCAAGTTCAATCCCCGGGACCAATAA